TCTTCGTCTTCGCAGCAAAACTTCAAATATTTGAAACTTCTGCGCAAAATTTGCTGAGATTGTTGTTTGCTTTTGCAGCCCCCGCCACTGCCCATTAGCCAAGTTTCAAACTCTTTGCCAATCACAGTTGTAATGTCAAACGATGGAAAATGCTTCTTAATTGTTTTCTCCTTTTTTAAACTTGGAGCTTGGTCAGACCCATCTGGCTTTGAGGCACCATTTTCGTTTTCACAAGGTTTTTGATCAAAGTAGTAGAACCAAGAATGCTTGTTTTTGACGTGTTTTCTGCAACCTCTTTGAGTTGAAAATCCATCGTGATCACAGTGTAAAACTGGACAGTGGTACAAATGATCGCTTTCACCTTCCTCCAAGTGCAATCGTTTGGGTTTGGGAGACGCGCCATCTATCTTTGACCAGTCAATAACCTTCGACCGTTTACTCATCATGAAAACTCTGCACACAAATATAATCTAAAATCTGGTCATCGTTATAAGTCCGCTTTGTACTCTCTAGAGAATTCAGTTCAATTTGAACCAATCCAAAACGGACCTTCTAGGGCTTGCCTGAGCACGTTTGTCTTGAATTAGCTTGCTCAGCAATATTTGAACRTGCCGATGGTAATAATGTTGTCATGACCAATCACATCTGGGGCAAGTTTCAATTAAATCGTGACGTGTTCAAACAAAACGTTTCTGCTGATATGCATCGATTAAAACGAACATGTTCCAGTATGAACAAACCTGCCTGCGCATGTCAATTAAGCCAGTTCATACGACCTATACGACCCTTGTTGGTAAAAACAACCCTACCCTCTAAACAATACCCTCTAAATAATCGTAGCTTTAGTGATGAAATCGAGCCTTTGCACTCAGAAAAAGGACGCTGGTTATTTATTAATCGACCGATAGGAACTCTAAACATATCAAACACTATTGTTTAGTTATAAAATAGCCGTTCCCTTTGCACTCAGGAACAAGTTGTTCCTCTTCCGTTTCATATAATGGTAAAAAAACGTTCCTTATTGATAGACAAAAAGGAACGTTCCGTTTCATACATTCAGAACAAAATGTTCCTTATTGATAGACAAAAAGGAACTTTTGTTCCTATGTCCATCAATAGGAACGCTACACATATTCTAAGAGGAACAAATTGGTCATATTCTGACCGCTATAATAGGAACAACTGTTCCTTTATMATGAATGGGAACGGGATAATGGACCCATTTCTAAAAAGAGCAAACTAAAACGGATCGAACTATTCCGATACATAGACATTTGCGTTCCGATTCACGCCAACAAAAAAGGAACATTCGTTCCCAATTCCTCTATTTAATTGTTTCCGAATTGATGATAAAGGAACAAAAACAAAAACTCGCGGAACACTCGAAAAACAAACAAATAGATCGCGCTGCACAAAAACTATGYTAACAAAATCTCAAAAACCTATAATTATATCTTTACACTAAAATCTATATCCCCAACAATTTCCAAATTAATTGGCATTGAAAAACGTGAGAAATTCAAAGTCATCAAAGTAGGGAAATGTTGATGATGATAAGATTCAAAGTGATGACATTTGAGGTCATTGGTCTAAAACATCCAATGTATGACACTTACAATATTTGCATTATGGCCTCACAAAAGAAACTCAAAAAATTCTCCGTTGGCATGCTTATTGAAATTTGYAGTTCACTCRAACTGGACACGTCACATATAAAGAAGAGGTTAAAGGATCCGTACATCCAAATGATACAGGAAGTAGTCGGAGACTGTGGGTGTACCACCTAATGTAAACTACATTATCATAAAGAGGTATTAGTATTAGTTGATTTTCGACTACTTCACTTTTATTATCGTATATCCCCCATTTCATGTTAACCCTATATTCCTTTCATTTTCATAATTTCTTTCAAACGAGTGATGCATATGTCAGTTGGCAAAACTGTAAACATTGCTTGTTTTTATTCCATCTACAAAAGGGATAAAGGTGTACATATGGAACCTTGCCTTGCGACCACACCCGCCTAATATGGCCACCTGGTCAAAAATTTAAAATTAGACCGCCATGCTTTACTACCTGGTTGATATGGTTACCCCGTTAATACGACCACTTCTTGGAGTCCTCAATGCACTCTAAATGTTGTGTGATATTGTTTCGGAAATGCGTGACTTAAGTGCAGAAATACTTTGTAACAGCGTGCCAATTATATCTCAATATGTTTATATCAATGGAATTTATTTATATGAAAAACAAATTCTGCTGTATTATAAGAATCATTTATAGTATTTCAATATCAATACTTGAGTCGCAGCTAAAAACAACTGGCGCGCTTTCAAATTGTTATCACAATGAAATCTGATTGGTCGAGCATGATCGTAAGACCCTCGTTGGGCCAATCAGCGACAGGGCCGATACGAAAAGATTTGCAGCCCGCCAAAATCATTATCGGCCCGCTAGGTGCGTGTTTTTATGAGGGTAGTTTATTATTTGGCCTTCTATAATGATGATAATGGCCATTATTTATATTTCTTTAAATATGACATTTTTGATATATAACGCACGCTGTGATTGGCTGTCAACCGTATTTATATCAGAGAGACGAAATATAAAATGGCTGTGTAGTGTCTGTCCTCTGTGCCCATTTTTTTCCCGTAAGTGCTTATTTAAGATCCGACTTTCGTGCAAACAAAATACGTGCACACAAAAAAAAAAACAGTTCAGTGGATGGACTGGATGGTATTAAATGTTACTAAAAACGTAGGAAGGAACTGGAGGAAGAATTGAAAAAAATGCTCTCCAGTGCTGTTAGTCAACCATGTTTTTTTTGTGTTGACGGAAGTGGTGACCTGCAGTCATTAAGAAAGCGCAAGGCAGGAATCRCCGCAAATAAGAGAGCATTTAAAATACCTGTACATGTCTTAAACCCTCATGCCACCAGCTGGATTCAATATGGTAAGAAATATCATGGTTTTATATTAATGTTAGTAATAAGTATGAATAACCTTGTTAACTCTACAAACAGCTTATCTTGTTATGAAAACAACCAAAGAAAGCCACATTTTTTGTGTTGAATTTAAATATTTTGGTTCTATAATGGACTGCATTAACACTTTGACAGGATTTTTATATATTTACTTTATACACCTCATGACAAAAAACATTTGAATCCAATATAAAGAAAAAGTGTAATTGTAATGTTATTTTATTCAAATGTTTTAAACCCCTTTTTACATCGATCAGCATTGAAGATGAGAGAGGAGAAACCTGCAAGAATTCTTGAAAGAACAGACCTCATTACTGAGGAAGTTGATGGTATTTTTTTATACCATATATCAAWTATATATTATATACAGCCTTTTGCAAAAATTATGAGAATTGTTGAAATAATTATCTAAATATCATAATAGCAAGTGCATGATGGGTAATCGCGTGCGATGCCCTTAGTCCCTTGTCTTTGTAGTTTAGTTTTTTTTTGGCGACGGACTTATCCGTAGTTCTGAACATTTTCTCGGTGTCAATAATGAATTATTCTAGCAAACCCGCGTGTTCCGGACAAAAAGCAAATAAGAATAAGATTATCTTTGAATTKGMAGAAATTGTCCCCTTTCTCAAAGGAAAGTTACGGCTCTTTCACACCAAATAGAAAAAGAGCTTTTGCAATGGTAAGTAAAAAAATTGTACTTAAATATTTATTTTATTTTTATTGTTATTACTTAAATACTATATATGAACTTATCAGAGTGATCGCGCTTAAGGTGTTTCGATCGTAATAAATAGCGTTTCGCGCGTACTTTTTAAACTCCAACTACGTCGCAAATTTCMATTCAWTTGCACTCAAACTTTCACAGAAGTCACAGTGATTATCGACAATTCTTGTTGATAAATTAATTTGCCAAAAACCGAAGCCATTTGGATAAGCGATGCAAAATAAAAACACCTTCATATTTCTTCAAAATTAATTTTCTCGAAACYCATCGCAGAGATTGTAATAAAATTTTCAGAAAAATTTGACATAATTTCAAAAGTAAGTGCATTTTTTAATATTTTATTTAAAGTATCTGATTCTGACTTCATAAAAGCTTTCATTAGCTTTAATATTAATAGMAATGTGGGGAACATAGCAAATTAGAAGCATTTGTTTGGCTATTGTTTTGACTGTTTATGTACATTTTATTTTTAAAATGTGTTACCCATAGGTTAATTATATAATCAGTGTGAAGACCAAGACATTCGTATGTGGGKAAGTTGCAATTGCTGCAGAACAATAGAAAGTTGCCTGCTTTTTGCAYGCATAATTGTAACTTAAAATATAAAGATGTTCAGCGCTAGTAGTTTCCCTTCTGTTCCTCCACCTTTCAAACATTAGTGAGATGATTCAATAAGATTTTTCTTTTCGCAGACTAATATTGCCCGGAAAGAGTTATTCCCTCCAGGAACAATTGGTATAATACATCCACCACCAACAGGTAAACAATAAATCTAAATAAATTATAATAATGATGCTTACCAGGTTATAAGGAGAAAAAAAGAAATGCATTTGATTATTCAATCATGCGATACAGCTATTTGTCTATTTATTTAATGAACTTCTATACAAAATTCACAGCATCAAACACAACAAAAACAATTGGAAAAAAAAGATCAAGAACCACAGACAATGGTATTGGACTGTATATTGTGGACATATGTTGTGATTTAGAACAATTGAAAATGCCCACATTTTTCTGTGCAAATAAATTAAGAGATTAAATAAATAAGATGCAAAAGATTAAAAATAGACTGATTCCATAAGTGGGTCCAGGTCGCCCTCTGTCAGAGTTTTTGTTCCGACACAAACGCAAAAACCAGGAGCGAAAACTAACGACTTATGGAATCAGTCTATAATGATTTTAAGTAACAAATTAAAGAGCCAGAAATTTTCCACAACACATTATCAAGAGCACAGTCAGACACAACACTATAATGATCAGTTAAAATTGCCTCAATGCAATCATTATCTAGTCATATGTTAACCATTTTTTTTATTGTTTATGTATTACCGTAAGATGGGTCTGTTGAAGACGATAAGTCAAAAAAAAAAAAGAACTAGAAAAAGATGAAGCAGAGCAAGATGAAGCAAAGGAAAATGAAACAGAGGAAGCTGAAGAAGAGAAAAGGGATAATGAAGGTAACATAAAAATAATAAATAAATAAAGGAGAACAAGATTTATTACTAAGCATTGTGTCAAATTCATCAAAGCTGTTTGATATGTAATTGAAGCTTAAATATAATCCATTCGGACTATTTACACTTACTTGCGAAAACGTTGTCATAGAAGACAAGACAAAAGAAAGCGTTCAGCCTCAGTGCTCTTCTTTTGTCTTTTGAATTTTTATAAGCCTTTTTTAATAAATAGTACTATTTTCCTATTTTTTATGACAACGTTTTTGCAAGTAGGTGTATGTGCAGAGATTAAAAAGGAAATATCTTTTAATATAAAATAAAACTAAAAAAATGAAATATAACAATATTAAAGTATTATGAGCCATGTCTTATCTTTAATTGTTATCCCATACTATTCTTTATAACAGAGACGAAAAGCAGGAAAAGAGTAAGACCACATTGGCAAAAAGACTACATTCAGCTCTAAGGGCAATTATATAACTAAAAAGGTTGCATTTTAATGTGGTTTCTGTTCAACTGCATTTGCCATGTTAACACTTAGGTGTCATTTTGTACAAAAACCAGTACACAGTTAGAAAACAATGATATTGAAGCTATTTTTGTATATGTGAGTAGTATCAAAAGTGTTAAACCTCCACAGTATGTCAATTTCAATATATTAAGCGGTGTACTGACATAACATTGTATACAATTCCATGTACTTTTGCTGGTATTTTTGACTATTCAATTCAATATTTTTGTGAAAAAATATGTATTATATTTCTTTGGTTTCCTCTGAGTTTAGAAATGATATTTAGCAATTTGACTTGGGTTAAAGTGTGTCAAATAGTCAGTATTCAGGTTAATCACCAGTTTAGAACAAATTCTGTCTTCAGACACCAAAATCTCCAGTCAAAACATGTTTCAGACTGCTGTAATAGAATGGAATTCATTGTAGATACATAGCTATTCAATCATATTTTCTCATAGTTTAATATATGTACTGCATCTTCAGAAATGATAGTAATATTTGCTGAAACCTGTTTAATTCTGGTTTAATTATATTTGCCTTCAACTTTTAAAAAGCATTTTAAATATTCTTGATACTGTCGCCATTGACATCAATATATGCAGACGGTCTAATCATTTTGACTCATATTACAACATATATAGAGGATATGTCAGCATGTCACATATTATTAATACAGCTGTTTGCACCACCCACCTACGCTACTATCAAAGTACTGTAAATTATGGGATACCATTTCTGATATTTATTTTAGGAAGTAATCATTTTGAATAACTCAAAAAACATACAGTCAACATGACATCCCATGTTAAGGAGTCAGTTTGATATATTAAGCTTAGGAGTATTACATCTATAATAAAATCTCCATTCTACATAAAATTAAATCGTAATGAAAACTTTATAATATATAATCCTATAAAATGAAAATGCGACCTGACTCAAGTTAGAATTTGTTCTCTAACAAACAATGACTCTTGCAGGACATTTATAGATATCACTCTAAATAATTAATTTTATGTTTTTAATGTTAAGAGGCAACAAATACCTAAATCTCGACAAAAGTGTACAGTATATCATATCTAAATTTTTCAAAGAGTAATTGAAGCCTCATAATATTATCCTGTATATAAAGAACAACTTGCAACAATTATTATTATAATTTAGACAACAACAAATCTCAACTTTCTTGCCGGGCTTCAATGACGAAACAATAACAGCCTTCTGTTTCTTCACAATACTCTCATTATGGTAAAAGTCCATTAAAAAATTATATATAAAGTGAGTTGGGAATGACTGCATTGTTGAARATCTCAGGCGCCTGATATTCTTACTGTTATTCTGCGACTCCTGATAACTTGTCTTGATTGCATGTTTCCGAGCACAAAGATTTATTTGTATGTAATTARCGCCTAAACGGCTGCTTATTTTTGGCTCTAAATAATACCGTCAATTTTTCTTCAATTCCCGTCGTACTTCCCTTCCAACTTTCAACCATCARCATTCATTGCTTTCAAAGATGCCTAATTTAATGTTTTATTCGAGAGAAATGCTTTTCTCGATAACAAATCGTGGAAATCTCTGATGAATCTACCGACAAATTAKCGACCATTGTATCGTCTTTGCGAAACTCAAATTTAAGGCTCCAAAAGCCGCTCCTCAGTATATTAATGCTCGTAGCTTTAAAAACTATGACGCCAATCTTCTCGCTTCAAAACTAGCGTTGAATTCTGACAGCCTTCTAAGCATTTTCGAGACCAGCGACGTAAACACCAAGCTCAAGACATTCAATGATACTTTGCACTCTGCCCTTGATGTATATGCCCCTATAAAGTCGATCAASATACGTAGCAGACCCTGCCCTTATGTCAACCAGGAAATCAGAGAACTCATGAAAACAAGAGACAGCCTATTCAAACGTTACCGTCAAACACACGATCCTGCTGACTGGAATATTTTCAAGGAGAGTCGCAACTCAGTCAAAAATGCCCTGCGTGAAGCTGAGAAAAACTATACTCGTAAAGAAGTAAGACAACACAAGAACGACCCAAGTTCTCTATGGAAAATCATCAATCGTGCGATACCTACGAAATCTAAAGAGAGACAAGTGTTTTCAAAAGATCTGAAAGCTGTCGCCGATGAATTTAACCTTTAATTCTCAACTGTTGGTAAAACAGCGGCTGAATACTCTTTGAATTTAGCCAACTCTCCTGATGTCGGTCTTTTCAATCTCAAGACCGTATCTATTGAAGAAGTACGCAACATTGCACTGTCTCTACCACTAAATAAATCGCCCGGTCCTGACAAGGTGAATGCACGTATTATTAGAGACGTTCTTCCAGTCATATTGGGTCCGTTAACTGAGATAATCAACAGCTCCATCATCACCAGTACATTTCCTGACAACTGGAAAGAAGCTGAGGTGATTCCAATTCTCAAAGACGGTGACCACGAAATAGCAGCAAACAACAGACCACTATCGCTTCTGTGTATTGCGTCAAAGATTTGTGAGAAAGTTGTCCACAAACAGCTCAACTCTTATCTTTTCGAAAACGATCTATTGACATCTCACCAGAGCGGTAACAAGAAAGCACATTTCACCGAAACATTGAACGTGCACCTCACTGATCTCAAGCTTGAAGCGATGGATAAAAAGAAGCTTACAGCTCTCGTCCTACTAGACCTCTCAAAAGCATCGACCATCTTAAGCTGCTCCACAAACTCACGAAACTTGGTTTATCATCTTCTACAGTAACTTGGTTCAAGAGCTATCTAACYGGGCGAACTCAGTCAGTCAGAATCGGCTCAGCTCTTTCAGACCCATTGCCAATAACCCACGGTGTTCCTCAAGGTGCTATTTTGTCGCCTTTACTTTTCTGCATTTACCTGAACGACCTGCCATCTGCACTTGACACTTGCAGCCTTGAATCTTRCGTAGACGACTCGAAGTTATTCATTTCATTTCCCCTCTCTGAGACAGAGCCAGCAATCAATAAGCTTGAACTTGACCTACTGAACATAGCACAATGGTGTTGCGCCAATAATCTACTGATCAACCCTGGAAAAACTAAACTCCTTTTTATTGGGACAAGACAACTAATAAACAAGTTACCTGAAACACAAYGAGTACACTTTCTTGGCAAGTCATTAGAACCATCTACGTCGGCAAAGGACTTGGGAGTCATCCTGGACCCCCATCTAACYTATGATAACCACATTTCATATGTAACCGCAGCTTGTTTTTCTAAGCTATCACAAATAAATCTTGTTAGAGAAAGTTTTGACAAAGACACCTTGGAACTTATAATAACATCACTGGTATTCAGTAAGCTGCTATATTGCTCATCAGTATGGTCTAACACTACAGCACAAAACATCGATAAACTGCAGTCCATTCAGAATTTTGCGTGCAAGATTGTTACAAACTCCAGAAAGTATGACCATGTAACACCACTGCTGCGTCAACTTAASTGGCTCCCTGTTAAAAAGCTCCTGTTCTTCAAGGATTCGGTTTTAACATACAAGTGCCTTCACAACATTGCACCGGACTACCTTTGCAACAAATTCATCAAACGTTCCAACGTTCATAGTCGTAACACTCAATCACGTGACCTACTACAGATACAACTTCATAAGACTGCCGCTGGCCAACGCTCTTTCACGTACAGGGCTACCAGCATTTGGAACTCTCTCGATATAAACATTAAACAAAGCAAATCTTTGAAAAGTTTTAAGACAGCATTGAAGGATYATCATAATTATTATGGTTATTGAGTTTGCTATTAATCAACAGTAATTACTGTTGCAAAAAAATCTAAAACCAAGTACCGGAATATGACTGCAAAATAAATTGATTAGAACACATGGCCTTTAATAGATCTTTTTTATATATAAATTATATAATAACACAATTATTTGTAATTGTTAAATAACATTTGTAACAGTTACAAGAGACTCAAATAATTTTGTAATCTGCATGGATTCATTGCTAATATTAAACTTACTCCATGTCGGCACACCATATGGTAAAACCATCATGACAGGGGGAGACACCAGTCACTAATGTTGCATATAAGGATTGTATACTTCCAACCAATAATGCCTACAATGTTTTAAGKTAATTATCTCAA